ATCTGTTCTTCCAAATCTGTCATGTGTCTTGTTACTTTTTTGCCATATAGAGGTTTTCATCTATTTTTTAGTAGGCAAATATGCCTACCCTTTTTTTAAGACTTTTGAATTTTAAGATTTTTTTACCCCTAAATCATTCATGAAGTCCCCTAGATTTTCTTCCAAGAGTTTGATTGTTTGTTTACTTACATTTATTTTTAAAGCATCAGGAATTTATTTTTATATCTGGTGATAATAGTGATCCAGTTAACAAAAGTGTATTGAGTACCTACTATTCACTTAGCTCTTGTCTCTAAGCTAAAATGGCATCAGTCAAACCTCTCAGCATTTCCATACAACTATCACCTGCAGACCACTGGTGAAAAGGCAGGAGGGCATCAAAACTCAAGTCATGATCCCCACCATCCAGAAACTTCTGATCCCACTATGTATTTTTTTTAAATCACAGGTAAAAACAGTAAATGGCACTACAAGAAGTGTGAGATTAGTTTTCAAATATTTATATAGCCAGCAAGTACCCTTGGCACCCAAAGGAAAGGGAGATGACTGGACAGTGAGTGAAAGCTTCAGGGAAGAGATAAAACTGGAGACAGACATTGAAGGATGCTTCAGATTTAAGTGAGGCTATGAGAAGCTTTTCTGTGAGAAGCTGAGCATAAACAAAGTTATTGCTATAAACAGGGTGTGTCAGTATCAGCTGACCAGAGGAGATCGTTCATTTAGGGGAGAAGTGGGAGTTAAAATTGGAACTGCTGAGACTGTAAATAACCTGGACCTAGGAGGTTAAGGCTTGGTGAAGAAGAAAAAGAGAGATATGATCATAAATTTTTGAAAAATGAAATTTCATAATTAAAGCAGCATTTAAGGAGGGAAAATCTGGTACTCATTTATAAGATTTAGTGTGGAGACCAGAGTAAGCCTCTATCACAAATATTAAATGAGTAGTTTAGCCCAGGGTAGTGGCAATAGCAAACAAGAATAAAGGGTGAATGAATATAGACATTTCGAAGAATCTGAAAAAGTGACAGAAGTTAATAATTGTCTTTTTATAGGAAATGAAGAAGATGAATGAGGCAAAAGGTGACTTCAATATTTTGATCCCAGGGGACAGAAATACTGGTGCCATTGAGATGGTTGCATACAGAATCTTAGCTGGAGAAGCTTCAGTTGGGTCCCAGAGTTTGAAGTGGAAATGTTCAGTAAGGAATGGGCAGGTGGGATTTTAGGAGTGTTGGTTGGGTGGAAGGTCAAACCTGAGGTCTACATTTGGATTCCTCAGTATGGGGTTTACTGTGGAAACTGCAAGAAGCTGGGAGAGGGATGAGTTCATCCAGGAGGCAAGGAGGCAGTCACTTATTTATCCAGCAAACTTTTATTGAGCACTTAATATATGTCAAGCATTTCCCTAAGTGCCAGGAATACAAAGAAAAAGTGTCCGCCCTCAGAAGCCTCATCTTTACTCATGAAGGCATGGGTTGATTGATAATGTTAAATAATGAATAATCAGAGATAAGGACAGATAAACAGCCTTTGGATTTGTCGGTAAAGTGGTTACCCTTGACCTTCAGAGGACAATTTCAATAGGATCTTGGAGATAGAAATCAGATTGAATGGCGAACATTTGACAAGAAAATGAAGACAAGATCAAGTCTTCTTTCATTCCCACTTTTTTTTTTTTTTGTGGTTCTTCATCTCATGGTGCTTATTCAGATTCTGAGCCATCTTCAATCTAATTAATTTGTTTTACAATAGTAATGTGCCTATTGCTAGAGAAGGACATTATGTTTGGTAAAGTAGAGGATTGACGAAAACAGGTAAAACCCTCAGTGGGATGGATTGGCAAAACAGCCTCAACAATGGGCTCAAACATATCAAAGATCATGGAGATGGCACAGGACAGGCAATGTTTAGTTCTGTTATACGTAAGGTTGACATGAGTCAGAGCCGATTTGACAACAATGAACAATAATGTTCTGGTATTTTAATATAGACTTTAAAGTCAAGTTAAAATTTAGTCACAGGCCACCTTCATATGTTTCTAAAAATATTAAGTATTTAACCTAGGACATTATCAGTAGGGACCTGTCCCTGGAGAAGGACATCATGCTTGGTAAAGTAGAGGGTCAGCAAAAAAGAGGAAGACCCTCCACGAGATGGATTGACACAGTGGCTGCAACAATGGGCTCAAGTATAGCAATGATTGTGAGGATGGCGCAGGGCCGGGTAGTGTTTCATTCTGTTGTACATAGGGTCGCTATGAGTTGGAATCGACTTGACGGCTCCTAACAACAACATATATTAACCTGATCCTGCATTTTTATTTCATACCATTGAAATTCAAACAAGTTATATAAGCTGATATAACCAATACATTTTAAAATGATAAAACTTTGCCAGAACCAATAGAAGCTATTTATTTATTTTTATTGTACTTTAGTTGAAGTTTTACAGAACAAATAGTTTCTCATTAAACAGTACACATATTGTTTCATGACAATGGTTTAACAACCCCACAACTTGTCAACACTGTCCCTTCTCAACCTTGGGTTCCCTATTACCAGCTTTCCTGTCCCCTCCTGCCTTCTAGTCCTTGTCCCTAGACTGTTGTGTCCCATTAGACTCATTTTGTTTTATGGGGCTGTCTACTCTTTGGCTGAACAGTGAACCTCGGGGGTGACTTCATTACTGAGCTAAAAGGGTGTCCAGGGGGCATAGTCTTGGGGTTTCTCCAGTCTCTGTCAGGCCGGTAAGTCTAGTCTTTTATTGTGAGTTAGAATTTTGTTAATAGAAGCTATTTAATCATCAGCACTGAGGGAGACGATAAGTGAGGAGAAGGAAAAAAATAAAAGACCATCATTTATGGTGGTGACAGGAATTCAGACTTTACCATCTTTTCTTGTGCCGTGACAGTCTAAAAGGAGATCCAGAAATGACTCAAAGATTTGGACTCCCTCCACCTCCTTTGTCTTGTTCCTGTGGAGAAGAAGGGAGAGAGAGAGAAGGGGAGATGAACTGTTAGGGATTGGTTGGAAAAGGGCTTTCCCTCCTCCAGACTAGGCTGATACTAATCTCTATCAGCATAGTCTCATTAACAAAACCTGTGAAAGCTGGAACCTGTGTAAGGCAGAAACCCGTCAGAGAAGGAAAACTCAAATATTTTCCACTAAAAGGAACAATAAAAAAGTGGTAAGACTGTATGCTGTCGAAGGCAGAAAATTTGCGAGACATGGAAAAACAAGGCAGCCTCATCGAGTTCCAGCTCTCACAGTTTGCACTGTGTATCATTTTCTTGTGTTTCATTCAAAAAGTACAGTAATGTACAGTTATCTTGATTTTCTGTTATTACCATTGTTCCATGTGTTACACCTCTGTGAAGTACTCCCAACTAGCTGATGTCTTTTGTCATCCAGCGATTTTCATACATTTTGAAAGGAATGAGCTGGATAATGTTAAGATATGAGTGCTATTGATAGAAGTATGTTTACCTAGGGGGCTGGGCATAGAACTTGAAAAGCAGACAGCTATGAGTCTTCCATGCTAGTTGATGCTGATTTACACTGTCATGGTTGTTTACACGCTGTAATAAATATTCTTTGATTTGACTTGATTTGATAAATGTGGTTAAGGGCAATTCCATTTCTCCATGTATTTCCACGTCTTCAGATTAGGAATCATGACAATCCCTTTATTATATGCAATAATGCTCTATTAATGCCCTTGTTGTTGGTAGCTGCTTTTGAGTCACCCCTGACTCCTGCCAACCTCATGCACAATGGAATCGAACTCTTGTGACCCATAGAGTTTTCATTGGCTGCTTTTTCAGAAGTAGATCACTAGGATTTTTCTTCCTAGAATGCTTCTTAGAAGCAAGGATGGCAAGACTTCGTCTAATGTACTTTGGACATGTTATCAGGAGGGACCAGTCCCTGGAGAAGGAAATCATGCTTGGTAAAGCAGAGGGTTAGTGAAAAAGAGAAAGACCCTCAACAACATGGATTGACACTGTGGCTGCAACAATGGGCTCAACATACTTGCTATTGTGAGGATGGAACAAGACCAGGCAATGTTTTATTCTGTTATACATGAGGTCGCTATGAGTCAGAACAGACTTGATGGCACCTGACAACAACAACAAGAAATGCATGCTCAGATACCTGTTGAATATGGGCCATTCTCCAATAAGCACCCATACCCATTCCCACCCCGATCCCGATGTATCTGTAGAGCAAACATTCCCGCACAAATGCAGTTGGGGCATGGGATGGACAAGAATTATTAAAAATAGAAATATTTTGTGAGAGGTCTATTAGCTCTGCAAATATAATGCCACTTGTAACAAACAACAAAAACCAAGCAAGTCATCAGATGTTACAGCTTTGAGAACTTGGCTATATTGACTGAAAAAAGGGAGGGGGGCAGAAAAAGATGACAAAATGTATTCTTTCTTGATCAAGATTTTAAAGTCAGATGTAAGAAGCCTCATGGTTTGAGGTTTTAAATGTTGGTGACATAGTAGATTAGGCTCTTATGTTAGGCAGTCCCCTGATTTGGGCCATGCCATATGAGGTACGGCATGAAGCTCATGCAGTGCTTGGATGGATGGGCTGCAGGGTGAAGCAGGTGCAAGGATCAGAGAAGGTGACAGCAGAATTTGATATGCATAATAACCCTTTTTAAAGCGTTTCTGGTGGCTTTGACTCCTCTCTTCTTCCATCCTCTAAATGGCTATACTACATACCACGTTACCAAACTCTGCCTTCCTCTTTTCCCCCTCCTTCCCTTCCTTTTATTTCTGCAAGTCCTAGACCACCAGACAATTGGAGGGAAACAGGTGGTGAGGAATGTGATAAGGACTGGGTAGGGGAACAAAAGTATTTCCTTCTTCTCTCAGCTTTAGCTCCAGATGTATGTATGTAATTTCTTATTTACCCCAAAAGAAACACATTGCTTGATAATAGTCTTTTTAATTGAATACCAGTTTATGACCACCTTTCTTGTAGGTACCTCTAAAGGAGAAGAGTCAAAAATATTGAGACCCCCAAGAAGACCCTGGAAACCCAAAACATTAAATAACCCTGAAGACTCCATATACTATTATCTACTACATGTAAGTGGCTCAATCTTCTTGTCAGATAGGACCCATAGTGCTCACTCAAGGCCAGTGTGAAAATGGGGACAACACTAGGCCTGTCATAGCGAGGCACCTTGGCTTCCTCTCACTGCCCCTCCCCTGGCTGGATAACTGGGCACTTGGCTGTCCTCCATCCCTTCTTTATCATGGTCCAAGCCCCTCCTATGGTCCTGTACCTCCCCTCATTTCCTCCCAGAAATTTTCTTTGCTAGTCCATTAATCTGAGCCAATATGCAAATATGAACCCAAAAGACAGGACATCATAGCAGGAGCTCTCTAGAAAGGGGCCTTAATGTAAATGGCTGTTATGGCAAAAGCAGAAGGAAGGGAAGGAGGGGAGAAGACATTATTGAGCACCTGTTATATTCTAGGCCTAGAATGAGGCATGTTCACATACACTGTGATAATCCGAGAAACAGCCCTTAAGGTGGTGTCCCCACCTCACAGAGGAGGAGTCTGAGACACAGATAAGGAGCTTCTGAGGTCTTCTGACTCCACAGCCCCCTGCTCACTCACAGTATGCAGTATGATAACTCATGGACCTTGATCCTACCAAGCCTGCCCTTCCTCTCATGTTCCTGTTCTCCAAGAATGCCACCGTCATCCTCCTAGTTACCTAAACTAAGCACCTGGACTCATCCTGGATCTTGCCCTCTCTCTCATACCCAGCATCTAATCAGTCACTAACTTGTGGCTTCTGCTTGCAAAAGCTCTCTCCAGTTCATCTCCCTATTCTAATCTGACAGCTATTACCCTACTTCAGGCCCGTCCTAACTGCATCTAACCTCAGCCTCTCCAGTCTGTACCAGAAAATTTCTCTAAACTGTAAATGTGATCATGTTATTCCTTTGAGAGATGCTTTAATGGTTCAGTCACTCTGTCAGGATAAGGTTCTGACTCCTTCTAAGGTCTTCATCATTGGACCTTGCCTACTCTTCAGCCTCATCTCCTGGCCTCCCCACCACCACCCCCTCCACACATGTCCTCTAACCATGGTGTTGTTGTTGTTGTTAGGTGCCATCAAGTCGATTCCAACTGATAGCAACCCTATGTACAATACAACAAAACACTGCCCGGTCCTGCACCATCCTGACAATCGTTGTTATACTTGAGCACATTGTTGCAGCCATTGTGTCAATCCATCTCGTTGAGGGTCTTCCTCTTTTTTGCTGACCCTCTACTTTACCAAGCATGATGTCTTTCTCCAGGGACTGATCCCTCTTGATAACGTGTCCAAAATCTGTAAGACAAGACAAAGTCTCCCCATCCTTGCTTCTGAGGAGCATTCTGGTTGTACTTCTTCCAGGACAGATTTGTTTGTTCTCTTGGCAGTCCATGGTATATTCAATATTCTTCGCCAACACCACAATTCAAAGGCATCAATTCTTCTTCGATCTTCTTTATGCATCTTCCAGCTTTCACATATATATGAGGCAATTGAAAACACCAGGGCTTGGATCAGGCGCACTTTAGTCCTTAAAGTGACATCTTTGCTTTTTAACACTTTAAAAAGTTTTTTGCAACAGATTTGCCCAATGCAATGCATCTTTTGATTTCTTGACTGTTGCTTCCATGGACGTTGATTATAGATCCAAGTAAAATGAAATCCTTGACAACTTCAATCTTTTCTCCATTTATCATGATGTTGTTTATTGGTCCAGTTGTCAGGATTTTTGCTTTCTTTATGTTGAGGCATAATCCATACTGAAGGCTGTAGTCTTTGATCTTCGTCAGTAAGTGCTTCAAGTCCTCTTCACTTTCAGCAAGCAAGGTTGTGTCATCTGCATATCACAGGTTGTTAATGAGTCTTCCTCCAATCCTGATGCTGCTTCTTCACATAGGCCAGCTTCTCGGATTATTTGCTCAGCATACAGATTGAATAAGTATAGTGAAAGAATACAACCCTGACACACACTTTTCCTGACTTCAAACCACGCAGTATCCTCTTGTACTGTTCAAACTACTGCTTCTTGGTGTATATACAAGTTCCGCATGAGCACAATTAAGTGTTCTGGAATTCCCATTCTTCATAATGTTATCCATAATTTCTTATGATCCATAAGGTTGAATGCCTTTGCATAGTCAATAAAACACAGGTAAACATCTTTCTGGTAATTTCTGCTTTCAGCCAAGATCCATCTGACATCAGCAATGATATCCCGCATTCCACATCATCTACTGAATCTGGCTTGAACTTCTGGCAGCTCCCTGTTGATGTATTACTGCAACTGCTTTTGAATGATCTTCAGCAAAATTTTATTTATGTGAGATAGTAATGATATTTTTCAATAATTTCTGCATTCTGTTGGATCACCTTTCCTTGGAATAAGCATAAATATGGATCTCTTAGCTGTCTTCCAAATTTCTTGGCATAGACTAGTCAGCACCTTCAATGCTGCATTTGTTTGTTGAAACATCTCAACTGGCAGTCTGTCAGTTTCTGGAGCCTTGTTTTTCACCACTGACTTCAGCGCAGCTTGGACTTCTTCCTTCATTACCATTGATTGTTGATTATACGCTACTTCCTGAAATGGTTGAATATCAACCAATTCTTTTTGGTACAGTGAATCTGTGTATTCCTTCCATCTTCTTTTGATGCTTCCTGGTCGTTTAATATTTTTCCCATAGAACCCTTCAATATTGTAACTCGAGGCTTGAATTTTTCTTCAATTTTTTCAGCATGAAAGATGCAGAGTATGTTCTTCCCTTTTGGTTTTCTAAATCCAGGTCTTTGCAGATTTCATTATAATACTTTACTTTGTCTTCTCGAGCTGCCCTTTGAAATCTTCTGTTCAGCTCTCTTACTTAATCATTTCTTCCACTCGCTTTAGCCACTCGACGTTCAAGAGCAAGTTTCAGAGTCTCTTCTGACATCCATTTTGGTCTTTTCTTTCTTTTCTGTCTTTTTAATGACCTCTTGCTTTCTTCCTGTATGATTCCTTGATGTCTTCCCATAACTCGTCGAGGTCTTAGGTCATTAGTGTTCAATGTATCAAATCTATTCTTGAGATGGTCTCCAAATTCGGGTGGGATATACTAAAGGTCGTATTTTGGCTCTCGCGGACTTGCTCTAATTTTCTTCAGCTTCAACTTGAACTTACATGTGAGCAGTTGATGGTCTGTTCCACAGTTGGCTTCTGGCTTTGTTCTGACTGATAATATTGAGCTTTTCCATTGTCTCTTTCCACAGATGTAGTTGGTTTGGTTCCTGTGTTTTCCATCTGGTGAGGTCCACGTATATAGTCACTGTTTATGTTGTTGAAAAAAAAGGTATTTGCAATGAAGAAGTCGTTGGTCTTGCAAAATTCTATCATGTGATCTCCGTCGTCATTTCTATCACCAAGGCCATATTTTCCAACTACCAGTCCTTCTTCCAACTTTCATATTCCAATCGCCAGTAATTACCAATGCATCTTGATTGCATGTTTGATCAATTTCAGACTGCAGAAGTTGGTAAAAATCTTCAATTTCCTCATCTTTGGCATTAGTGGTTGGTGCATAATTTGAATAATAGTCATATTAACTGGTCTTCCTTGTAGGTGTTATGGATATTATCCTATCACTGACAGTGTTGTACTTCAGGATACATCTTGAAATGTTCTTTTTGACAATGAACGGGACACCATTCCTCTTCAATTTCTCATTCCTGTCGTAGTAGACCATATGATTTTCTGATTCAAAATGGCCAATATGAGTCCATTTCAGCTCACTAATGCCTAGGATATCAATTTTTTTTCATTCCATTTCATTTTTGATGAGTTCCAATTTTCCTAGATTCATACTTTGTACATTCCACATTCCTATTAATGGATGTTTGCAGCTATTTCTTCTCATTTTGAGTCGTGCCACATCAGCAGATGGAGGTCCCAAAAGCTTGACTCCATCCATGTCATTAGGGTCAACTCTACTTTGAGGAGGCATCTCTTCCCCAGTCATCTTTTGAGTGCCTTCCAACCTGAGAGGCTTATCTTCCAACACTATATCAGACAGTGTTCCACTGCTATTCATGAGTTTTTCCTTGGTCATTCTTTTCAAAAGTAGACTGCCAGGTCCTTCTTCTTAGTCTGTCTTAATCTGGAAGCTTCACTGAAAACTGTTCACCATGGGTGACCCTGCTGGTATTTGAAATACCAATGGCAACGCTTCCAGTATCACAGCAGCAGGAAAGATACCACAGTAGTATGACAAACTGACAGACACGTGCTAGATCTTGGCAATAAATACCACCAAATATAATCCCCCAGGTGATCAAATTCTTGTTAAATTATCTCTCCTAAGGAACTGATATGCTTCCTTTTTCATGGTGGTGAATGCTGTGTAACTTATCATGCTTCCCTTTTAGCCCTAGCTGCTGAGAAACTAAGAGGCAAACTTAAGGCTCAATCTTAACACACATTGCCACCTTTGTTCCTTATTTACAACTTCTATTTTATTACCTTGATTGTATAATTGCTTCTATTATAAACCATCTTAAATAATGTTTGGAAAAATATATTACAGAATTAAATTTTATTGAAATATTCTAGCACTGGCAAGAGTGAAATAAACCTGGACAGTATTTCCTCTTCTAGGAATTCTTATAATTGCGGATCAGTTTATATATGTCATCTCCCAGAGGCGAATGCTGACATCTGTATAAAAAGGGGTTCTTGCCAGCTAGAGAATTCAAGGGCAGCCTGTTATTTGACTCTTGGTTATATAAAGGGAACCTCTGCTTCTGTCCCTCAACATAGTGCCATCATTTAAGCATGACTTTGGACTATAGAAAATCATTACCAAGATCAACAGGGACTTTTTTCAGGTAATGGATTGAGGAGGTAAGACCCCTGTAGAAAACTACTGATGACATATTCAAACAACAACAAACACCAAGGACCCTAGGGACTAATAACTGGACTTCTCATGACCATTGTACCCATGCTGGTAATATAATTAGTTGTAAGCACCTACTAGCCTAGGGCATTGGATCAAGAATGTGAAATAATAGGAAGTGGGAAGCGAGACAGGAAAGTAATTGTTGTCCTGCCCTTACATTGTTATTTCCTGAATGGTCTACTCAGAGACTTGATGCATTTAAGGATTCACTCTTACCTCATTCATCCATTAAAATGCCAACCAACACGAATAAAAAAACTACGAACTGTTTGACTCATTCAATATTTTAGAGTATTAAAAATGATAAATTGTAAGAAAAAATGTTTTACCATATCTCTAAAAATGCTGAAAATAACCCCAATATTTACAAACTGTTATTAACTGCCATTATTATCTTGCACTTTTATAGTGCCAGCCAGCTTGATATCTGCATTAGGGTTTGCAAAATTGTAATTTATTCAGCTTATCCCTGGTGAGTAGGGTATTTGTCTAAAAGACATATATGCTCTTGCAGTGGATAGATATATGAATATAGTGTGAAGCACATTGCTAATGCTAAAATACCAAAGACGGTATTATTTTGTCTTGTGAGCAATATTGCTTTTCATGTAAGATAAAATGAAGTACCATTTTGTTGGTGTTTGAAGTACAAATTAAAGTATATTTGTTTCTTTGCTTAAATATTGTGATTCGTGCCTTGATACATAAAGTTCTCAACTACAAAAACATTTTGCAAATGAACATATGTATCGCCTCTGCCTGCTACTCTACTTTTAAGCCATGAATGAGTTCCTGTAGGTTTATGAAGTCATATTTTCATTCTCTTTGTGGACTGTTGCACCTTCCCTCAATATCCACCCATCTGCTTTTAACCAAAGACAAGGATGACATGTAAGCAAGACATCAAAGCAGCCCAATTAACCTGCTTAAATCACAACTGCCTTTGTCATAGGAAGATGAGTTTCCCAGAAATTCTTATATTTTGTTCCCATTTGTAGGTAAATAAACCTTATGTAATCTTGTTTATACTGGTCACTGTGTAGTAAGCTCTTTTTTCATATGGAATACAAAGATTAATTTTAGTCCAGGCTGGTACAAATAATCACAAATTCAAAATTAGTGAAATGTAAGTAAGTTATATTTCTTTAGACTTTTAAAATACTGTACCCACTTGCTTATTTTTAACATGGTTCTGTATAAGAATACATGTATTTATATATTAAGATTATAATATTATATCAATTACATTCTTAAAATTCTTCTATTCCCTTTAGAAGTCAATCCAAGAAAAAAAACGAAAACCAAGGAAAGACAGGTAATTCTTATTACTAGATTCCAGTAAGTTGTCTGGTTCAAACCAAAGTATAAAGCTGTATGTTCAAATTCCGACTCAAAAAATCACCTAGTTTATGTGGACAGATTTGGAGAGTAATGTACTCTGAATACATTTGTATTATAAATATATGGTTTATATATAGTTTATAAGAACCTTGCCTATTGGAAATACCTTGACCTAAGCACAGTGCTGAGCATATACTAAGAACTCAAAATTGTTTGAGTGAATTGGACTGTCTCAGTATAGAATTTTCTCTCCTTGGTCTGTTGATATGGTTTTACTTGAGCAATGTGGACACAGACATGCTTATGAACTTTCTTTCCCCAAACTCCTTTTCCCATATTTGTTGTTTAAAAAAAAAAAATCTCCTTTTCCCTTTTTGTCTTTCAACACTTGCTAAGCCTTTCTTTGTATCATTTTTATGGATTTGTCAGGAAGATGATGTTTGTGTCACCTCACTTCATACTATAAACCTCAGCACCTGGGGGGGCAACACACTTAAATTTACAAAAAGCTGCAAAACTCTTCCACTGCCTCACTTTCTGCTATTGTAATGCCTGAAATGATGGGAAGGATTTTAATAATATTTGATTATGCAACTTTTTAAAAGCATTTTAGATTGATGGTGTTGTAGTAAAACCTTTCAGAACAAGAATGCTTTGTACATGATACATGTCCTTTTTTAACAAAATGGGGAAATTGCAAGGAAAATTTCTCATGTCACATCTTTATTCAAATAACTAGCATCTCAGGCCTTTCTTGGGCGCAGATCAGTACACATTAAAACTAACCTCTGTACCTTCTATGATCTCTGGTGCCAGGATTTAATTACTATAAGAATTTGTACTGAGAATGACAGCCTATTTTTGAAATGTTACGTTATGATAAAAATATGAGTATAAAGCAGCTGAAAAATAAAAAGAAGTGACAGAGTGAGTATCAAAGGTTAAATTTCTGTCTGAATTAAGAGTTGGTATGGTAAATAGAGAACACAAATTTGGGGCTTCACAAGCCTGGGCCCTTCACTTGCGGGTTATATGACCATTGACAAGTTCTCTGTTTCTCTAAGCCTCAGTTTCTCCATCTGTAAAAGAGAACTAACAGTATTTACCTTTTGGAGTTGTTTTAAGATAAAGGAGACAATGTGGGCAAAGTACCTTTGGTTGCTGTTGCTGCTGTTGCTGAAGCTCTCATCATCTTCTTCATGGTTTAGAACAGAGGAGTTTTCTCTAATTCATAGAAGTGAATTCACAATATTTCCCTTTTCCTGGAACATTTCAGTTCATCAGTACTTTACTATTTCAATACTATACCACCATTTTAATTAGTATTCATGTCAACCAATTTCCAGACAGTGCTAATAAAAAACAAGTGTTCTTCTATTAAGTATGAGTGTACACACAGTTCCCAATTTGTGAATCCATGGCATTCTGAAAATTCCCTTATAAATCAGTACCTGTAACAAAAAATTTTTTTTCCTAGAAGCACTGCAAATCACAGCGGTTTTCCAGTCCTAACTGTTCACATCATACTGAATACCACAAGAACTAGAACTGTAACCTGAGTAGATCCAGAAATTAAAAGTGGCTGAGGACACACCCCTGTTTGTACATCATGCACAGGAATTAAACTCTAGCACAGAAATTAATCTCCTGAAGACCAAGACGTAGGGGGAGGACAAAAGGTTACCTGGGAAGGAAGGAAGTTGAGGTCCCAAAACCTTGTGTACATCAATGTACTGATGGCTAGTAAAATTTGGAACTGTTGTGTATTTGTGCATAAAGCTCAGATTTTCTCATTCCGACATCAGAGGTCAATTGTGAATGCTGGTCTAGTCTGGTTAAACTGAAACGTTGTAATCCCTGGCGATTCTAGTCACTACTCGTTTTGCGTTAAGCTGAATGACAAAGAACCAGGCAAAGCTTCTCTAGAAACTAATGTCCTCTTCAAGGTAACAAATGAGAGTGATGTCTTTTTTTGTTTGTTTTTTTATGGTATCTACTGTTTTTTGCACATTTCAAGACTTCTTCTATTTGTGCTAATATATATGTGTTACCCCTAAATTATGGTAAATATTTTAAAAGAAGCATCTTATAAGTTTAAGTGACTAAAAAATTAGGTTGATGCTGTGATGTGTTTGTGTGTTCATTTACAGTGAGGGAAAGTTATTAGATTTGGAAGATTTCTATTATAAGGAATTTTCACCTAGTCATTCTGGACCAAAGCTGTACCATAGTTTTAAAGAACGAAGACCACAAAGAGAACTCCAGAGTCAATGTTTTAAGCCTGATGAAAGGTAATAAAGTACACTTTAAAGTACAGCATTTTCAATTTTGTATTCACAGTCCCATTAGTTAAGCAATTTCGTTTTCTGTATGGATTGATGACAAATTCGTATTGAATATTGCATCTTAGGAGCAATACGCTATTTAAAAATAAAATCATAAGTATTACGATAGGGTAATCAGACATCCTGAATTGCCCAGGACACTCAAAGTTTATACTTCTTTTCTTGGTGTAATTATTAATAGCATTCCCCTTTATTTTCAAAATACCCCAAGTTGGATGATAAATTATATGGTCATCTTAATTATAAGCAATAAACCATACCCAAAATCTATGTTTAAGCTCTAGCCAATGTAATTTTAATCCCTTATTGGTTTTTATACTATGTAATTTTTCAGAACCAGTGATGTCAGACCAAAAAATATTTGGGACAAAGGTTCACATAGCAATAGGTATTTTGCATTTGATTTCTCACCTTACCACAGACTTTGTTTGACATTAAGTAATTTAAACCATTTGTAGCTTACTTACTACTTTGGGACTTTTTTTTTTTCTTTCCCCAACAAATCTTTGTGAAATTTTGAGATTGAGGGTACATAATAAGACGGAAACATGGTATACGAGAAATGAGAGTAATGACAGGCAACGGAGCTATTGATCCAAAATTCTAAACAAACATGCCGTCTGCCTAAGGCACCTTGTACCCCAACACCAGTCTCTTTTACAGCTTAACATGGTGGTTAACAAAGAGGTTTTAGAGTCAGACAGTTTAGTGATCTTGCTCATGCTACCTGACCTCTCTAAGCCTTAGCTTCCATATCTGCAAAAGAATTTAATAATAACTGACTAACCATGTTATTGTAAAGATTAAATGAAATGATGTATGTGAAGTGCTTAAAACCCTTTTGTGACCAACAGGACATATATGTCCCACCTACATTTTCCACCTGTCAGGTTTATTGGGAAACTGCTTTCCTACTAACAGTATATGCAGCTGTCAGGAGGGGACCTGTATAATGGTTTGAAGCGGAATAAATAGGCGTGTGCCCCAAATTATTTTTACAGGGTATTGTATAAGTTGGCGCATCCTGGTGCATCCTGTAGGGGCATATGTGTCTCAAGAACCTGCACATGAGTCCACATTTGTGTCCCAGAGTCTGACAAGACATATGCACATAATGTCAGAGGGACATATGTCTCCCACCAATCCTACCCCCTGAGTTGAGAGGGACACACTCAATTCAGACACACTCAGTGATTCAGTATGCATTCCATTAATGAAAAAAATTTATCAACAAAAAATTTAAAGTGAAAAATAATTAGGTCATGAAAGGGCATATAGGAGGTGTTCCTTGTTATTGTTTTGTTAGATGCCGTCGAGTCTGTTCCGACTCTTAGTGACCCTATGTACAACAGAAGAAAACATGGCCCAGTCCTGAGCCATCTACATAATCTTTGTTATCCCTGAGCCCGTTGTTGCAGCCATTGTGTCAATCCATCTTGTTGAAGGTCTTCCAACTTTTCGCTGACCCTCTACTTTACCAAGCCTGATGTCCTTCTCCAGGGACTGGTCCTTCCTGACAACATGTCCAAAGTAGGTGAGATGAAGTCTTGCCATCCTTGCTTCTAAGGAGCATTCTGGTTGTACTTTTTCCAAGACAGATTTGTTCATTTTTCTGGCATTCCATAGTATATTTAATATTCTTCGCCAACACCATAATTCAAAGGCATCAATTCTTCTTCAGTCTTCCTTATTCGTTGTCCAGCTTTTGCATGCATATGAGGTGACTGAAAACATCACGGCTTGGATGAGGTGCACCTTAGTCCTTAAAGTGACATCTTTGCTTTTTAACACTTTAAAGAGGTCTTTTGTAGCAGATTTGCCTAATGCAATACGTCCTTTGATTTCTTGATTGCTGCTTCCATGGGTGTTGATTGTGGATCCCAGTAATACGAAATCCTTGACAACTTCAATCTTTTCTCCATTTATCATGATGTTGTTTATTGGTCCAGTTGTGAGGATTTTTATTTTATATTGAGATGTAATCCATACTGAAGGCTGTAGTATTTGATCTTCATCATATAAGGTGTTCCTTAAATGGTGGTTATCATCTTTATTTACTTTACCAGAATCTACCTGAACCATGATTTCTGCCCCTTGTCTCCCAAAAGATTGTCTTAGTTTCTTAGTGCTGTTATAACAGAAACACTACAAGTGGGTGGCTTTAACTAACAGAAATTTATTCTCCCACAGTTTAGAAAGACAGAAGTCCAACTTCAGTGTACTGGCTCTAGGGAAAGGCTCTCTGTTCGCTGTGGGGAAAATCCTTTCTTCTCAGCATTCGTTGGAGATCTCCACCTGGCATCTGTCTTTTTTCCCCATTCGTGCTTGCTTCTTCTGTCCCTAACCTGCTCTTTTTATATCCCAAAAGTGACTGGTTTAAGACATACCCTACACTGATATGGAGCCATGGTGGTACAGTGACTAAGCATTCAGCTGCTAACCAAAAGGTTGGCAGCTTTGAATCTGCCAGGCTCTCCTTGGAAACTTTATGGGGCAGATCTACTCCATCCTATAGGGTCGCTATAAGTCAGAATCGACTCAACAGCAACAGTTTTGGTTTTTTGGGTATTCCCAAATAATATCCACAAGCGTAGGAGTTAGGATTTGTAACACATATTTTGGGATGACACAATTCAATCTTTAACAAAGATGTATTTCTCTGTCTTGTGATAAAGAATTGTAACATGTTGGAGCTTATAAATGGTCTAGTCTAATTACAGAGTTCTATACAGGAGGGTTCTGCTCAGAGCCACCCTGTGTTTCTTCTAAGTAAAATATAAATCCTTGCCATGATCTCAAATTATCTAAATTATCTGCTCTTCTCCCCTTTGCTCACTCCAGTCTAACCACATTGGCCTCCTTGCCATTCCTTGAACACAATATTCACACTCTAGTCTCAGAACTTTTATATGGTCCTGGAATGATTGCCCTTCCCCAAAAAAAGTTGCATGGCTTACCCCCTTCCTTCATTCAGGTCTCTCCTCAAATGTCACCTAATCTAAGAGGCCTGTCCTGACTACCCTCTATGAAATAGCTTGCACACCATCACTCTTTCCCCATTACCCTGCTGTATTTTTCTGTATAACACCTACCATCACCTGTAAAGTTGTTTATAATCCTTTTGCATGCGAGATTATAAAGCCCATGAGAGAAGGTACTTTTGCTCACCTATCACCTAAATCCCCCACGTGTCTGTCCGTTTGTCGTACTGTGGGGGCTTACGTGTTGCTGTGATGCTGGAAGCTATGCCACCGGCATTCAGTACAGGATCAGCAAAAAAGAGGAAGATCCTCAATGAGGTGGATTATGGCTGCAACAATGGGCTCAAGCATAACAACTATTGCAAGCTTGGCACAGGCCTGGGCAGTGTTTCGTTCTATAGTACAGTGGGTAGCTATGAGTCAGAACCAACTCGATGGCACCCAACAACAACAATAACAGCATCACCTAAATTGGTGGCTGGCGCTTAGTAGGGGCTCCATGATGAATGAATGAATGAATGAATCAATCAATCAATCAATGTAGCTGCATTTCAAAGGAGCAGCCTACTGCAAAGTCTAAAGGTAAACATTGGCGGAGTTTGTCAGCAGTGGGGTTCAGGAAGGTTGGCCCAGCAACCTCATTGAACATGCTTTCAGGATGGACTGCTCCAGTGTCTCCAATACAGTGGTTGGTCAGATTGGGGACCCAGGGACCATGGTTTTTTTTTTTTTTTTTTTTGCTTGTTTGTTTTGTTTTGTTTTTCAGAAACGTTTGAGCGGTTTCTAAAGTGCAAACTGGTGGTTGTGTATTTGAGTATCATGAGTTTTCTTGTTTGACCAGAATGTGTTAAAAATAGAGATACTAAAAAATAACTATTTGTTTATTGATTGTAAATTATTTGAAATCAATTGAAGCTCGCCTTTCTGAACTACATTCCTAAAGCTTTAGCTCTCATCCAAACATAAAGTCACCTGGAGAACCGTAAGCCGGGTCTCACTCTGTTCCTTGACTCAGTTTGAAAACCTGATGAGAAATGATCCCAGATACATTTGATCATTATCCTGACGTTTTGATTGTGCCTCCTTTTAATGTCCCTGGTTGGTGGGAGACTTGGGGGAAAGGAACCGCCCGCCTAATTCGGGGTGGGCGGGGGTGTGCTTTGCCCGGTGGCGCTGCTGACGCTTGGGTCTTGGGTCTCGCTGGCAGGTGCTGGGCGGCGGAGAGCCCCGAGGAGGAGGAGAGCGGGCCGGGAGCCAACCCTTACGACTACCGGAGACTTCTGCGCAAAACCTCCCAGCGCAGGCGCCTAGTCCAGCAGTTGTAGAGCCGCCGCTTGGTGGCCACCGCCGTGCCCTGGGACAGCCACCCGCGAATGTGCCCCGAGCCTGCTGGGCTGCAGAGGCCAAAGTGGGTTCCCTCGGGCGCTGGCACTATGAGGCGCTGAAGCCAGGGCCCTGACATAGGCAGGGCCTGCCCCTCTGCGCTTGCCCCCCGCCCCCCACATTGCCCCATCCAGCCTCTAGTGGCCCGAAAGAGGGGAACTGGAAACTATTGAGAAACCTCCCCAGCCCACCTCCCCGCGCTCCTGCACCTTCCACTCTTAACTGGCCGTCGAGATGGAGACTCCCTGTCCCCTGCCGCCAATGTATCCCTTTGTTCACTTGTTTGCCGCTCCTTCTGTGGGCCCGACCGCGTGTGAGCTTTAGCGGATCCCTCTGTCATTTGACCTCAAAGATTTCTACCTTCTTGGAAACGGCTGTCCCAGGCTCTCGGGATACTCGCAGGCGGGTTGTGTCAGGAAGAATAAATCCCAGGGGAAGAGGCTTGAAGACGAATGTCAGTACAAACGTCTGCTTTCCCCTCCCTCGGTTATTAAAGTTACTAAATAAAGTGCCTTGGAAAGTTTAAGGCTTGCGGGGCTTGTGGCCTGGCTCCTGGTGTCCGGCTGTGCTGCTGGTGGCGCCTAGAGAGGGGATAGAGGGCGTCTCTATCAGCGAACACCCCCCCCCCCGCCAGCCACCCCAAACAAATATGTAATCTAGCTGAAACTACGTACTTGCGACTCAAAGGCGACCCACAGACAAATCTCCAAACCCCCCAATCCTCACACACACACTCTGCCTTCCCGACCAGGTTGGCTTCTATTGGCCACTCCTATACAGAATTTCTGGTCCTGTCACTGAACTAAACTGTTAGATTTACGGATTTGCCTAGTCTGCAGATTTTCGGCAATCTCTGCTGCTCCAAATTTAAGTATATTCGGGAGGGGCTGCATTCCTCAGTTGACTGACTGCACCTTATTTTAAAAACCCAGATTAAACTCTTCTAAAGAACTAAAAACCTCCGCGTCTACGCGGGCTGGTGAGGAAGGGTGACGCGGTGGTTCCGCAGTTGACTGAATTGGGAGAAGGCTTCTGGCTGGAAAGGATCTTGTCTGTTCTGTGGGTGCCTACAGCTCCTACAGACACAGCCGGGACCAGGAGGCGCTGGGAAAATCTTGGAGAAGCTAGTGAGGGCGCGCACAGCGGCTGATGATGTTGGTTGCGGCTAGACCACGGTAGGTGACGTTTCTTTCCGACCCAAAGAGTTGCAGTTGAAAGGTCCCCAGAGATGACTCGTACAACCGCTTTTTTTTTTTTTTTTAACCAGTGAGGACTCGGGGATCTGGTGACTCAGCCAAGGGGACGCCTCCCGCTGTGGCGGGGCAGAGCCCCAAGTCCAAGTGCGCTCCGGACCTTTCAAAGTCTTTCCCTCGGCTCCTGCCGCGGCCTTCTCTCAGGCTGACAGCGGGTGGGAGGAATCATCTCCGGGGTGCAGACCGATGGCGGGGCTGCAGCGGGACAGGGGTTGGCCCAGGCAAGGACGAAACAAGCGAGTCATCAAAGACCGGGGAAGGAGGACGTGTCTGTAGCCCGTGGGGGGCGGCGGGGCGGAGGCCCTCCCCGCCCCCACCCACCGGTCCACCCACCACCTAGAGGCCCTCGAAAAAAACCGAGCTCCACTTCGCTGCCAGGATCATCCTTTAACCCAGGTTTCCGGGTTGGCCGCTGTAGACCTGGCAGCCCGGCCTCTTCGTTTTTCAATGCAGAGGCAACAGGCATCTTCCCTAAAATCTCTCCTTAAAAAAACAAAAAAGTGGGACTGAAATATGGCAAACGCGTGGTGAAAGGGTGCAATGTCTTGGCTTTCCTTTTTTTCTTTTGTATTTCTTTGGTTTTTCTCCTTTTTCTTTCTTTTTCTCTCTCTTTCCCTCTCCCTTGGACATTTTAGCACAGGAAATACACAGGGGAAAAATTGTGTCAAGCAGTTTGTTAGTCGGGCCTGCGAGGAGATCTCCAGGTAAACCACGGACAAGAAATTAACCGTCCGAGGCTGGCGGCCACTGAAGCGTAGTTCTCTCTCCCCTTAATCGAGGAAGTGCCTTCGAAAGCTTTTCCCCAGCACAAGTCCACCGCCCCTTCCCATTTCGTAGCTGCCTCCTTTGTGAACTAATGACTGTAATTATTACCTCCCTAAGCTCTTTTGTCATCTCCAACCTCGAGCAGAAGAAAGGGAGGAGTGGGCTCTTTTGCTAAATGAAAGTCTTGATAAAGCAAATTGCAGTCGAGAGAGGGATGGCGTTAAGGAGAGACAAATCAGATCCCTGTCTGCATCTGAAGCAGGGTGTGTTTAAATAAAAAATGTAAATACCACAATTAGATTCAAAGTACTCCAGAGCTGCGAGATTTAACGGAGTTTAAATAGGAGCATTTTAAGTCATTGAGTTTAAAAAATATGTATTCGGGGGTTGGGATTTCTACCTTCCTCATGTTTTAATCCGTTCCTTTCTTGGGGGTTTTGTGTATGTGTGTGTTTAAACTCTTGTTTTTAAGAACCTTTATCTTTTCGACCACTCATCCACAGTCAGAAAGATTCTGCAAACCCAGACTGCTGGCTTGAAGTGAAACATTTGCTGAATTTGATGTGGATTTAAACAAAGAACAGCTCTCTGCAACTAGTATCTGCGCTGCTAGGGCGAGAGCTGCGAAGCTGCCCTGCTTGGGGTGCAGACTGCCGAACCAGGAAGTCTGCACACCTCTGGGGTTGTTTGTTATGTCCGGTGGAGCTTCGGAGCCGGGAGAGCTGAAAAGAGGGGACGATCTGAGGCAGGAGTTTATGCCCACCGGGCATTCACAGCCTGGCCCCGGCGCTAGACAGCGTTCACTCCGCGTCACGCCTTCTGTGGACTAGGCCAGCACCTCCCTCCCCACCACCCCACGCAGATTCTAAGGCTCCTCCGGTCGCCCCCACTCCCGGCTCAGGCACATGGGAAGGTGACAAAACTGTGGAGAAAATTGACCAGGCCGCCAAATACCCTGGAGCACGGGACGGACGTGGGCCCGCACGAGGTCATACCGGGCCGGACCACGCCGGTCCTAAGTGAGGGTCAAGCAAAGACTGAAGGATCCGCAGGTATCTGCTTTGGTAGCAGTTTGGGTGACCGGATCAGGAGGTCTGAGAAAGAACGGCTTGTGAACACAATGGAAACGATAGGCGCTCGCCCTAGGCTCGGGCAAGCAGATGCCCTCTGCGGGAGCCTTTTTCCCTTCAGGGTCATTCTCATCCTCTCTCAGCGAGCCCAGGAGCTGCAAGGTGTGCTTGATGTAGATCTCGAACGCCAAGAGAAAGCAACGCGAACTCAAGGGACCCTAAATTCTCAGGGCGCCCTCCTTTGTTTAACAGCCCTTAGAGAAAAATCATCAGACAGTAATCAGGACAGGTTCTGACGTTCTCCCCGTTTCCACCAGGCAGTCAGGAACAGTGAATATCTGCCTTCTTCCCAGATATAATGAAGATTCCCCGGGGGGGGGGGGCGTGGAGGACAAGGAAGAACTGTCATTGGTTTGAGGCCCCCTAAAGCTAGGGCCCAGCAGACGATGCCTTCCTTCTGCCTCAGATTTGGAGAGCCCGGCTTGCTTAGTTGGAAACCCTTTGTGCACACCTGCCACGCACACACAGAATCCCGTTTCACGCCTCCTCTGTCCGAAGTCACCAAATAACCCGAATCCATCCCCAACAGGCCATCAGTCCTGCTGTCTCTGGCCTCTCTCCCCCGCCCCCTTCCAAGAAGTTTCCATTCGTTTTGTTTTTTTCCCCCGCCCGGGGTATCCTTCGCGATAGACTCCGTCACGGATTTTAATTGCCTCAATCAACAGTCTTTCTCCCCTGCCGTCAGTCAAAACCTGGACGGCTGGTGCCGGAATGGTGAGCCTCGGGGAAGTAGAGCATTAGGCTCTACGGAGGAGCTGAAATGAGCCCATCAGCGCCACAGATGCCCCTCCTCCACTGTCCGCTCTCAGAACGGCGCCTGATTCCTGCCCAACGACCAGCTCTCGAGGTCGCAGCGACCTCAGCAACCTCACGAAGGAAGCCGGCGCATTCGAGCTTCCTTCCCAGCAGCGGGAGCCAGATCTCAAACAATAAGCCAAGTGATGCGTGTATAAAACTCGTCTTGGCCACCCTTCCTGTCTTGCCAAGGTCTCTCTGGTGTGGCCCTCGCTGATACCGGCAAGAAGCGGTCTGCGTTAGCACCCTGGACAGCGTGCCCGGGCCCATGGAGGCTGGCCGAACGCTCACTTCGCTCTCTCTAGGTGCTGGCTTGCACGTCTCCCACCCACTCATTCGGACTCCAGCTAGTGTATAGTGTTTGCCTCGCACTCCCGTGTTTGCCTCGCACTCTCACGATTCGGCTCCCTCCCGCTCCTCACCCCCACGCCCGCCTTTTTTTCTCCTCCACCTCCCCCTCACCCAGCCTTACAGGGCTCCCTCTCCTCATATTCTCTGGTGGTCCGCGCTTTCCCAGCTCCAGGCTGCAAGAACCCCTAGGTGTCCTTCCCTATTTAACCTTCCACCCTCCACAGCTTCTTGAGCGTTGCCACGTCTCTAAGCCCTAACCCACCACAGACACGCAAAAGCACACGCAGACAGGCACGTTTCCTGTCCCTGTGTGACACCCACCCTCTGCTGTGCGACTGCGCTGGTACCCGCTAGGTGCCCTCCTCCTACCACTCACACGCACGCGCGCGCAGAGCCGAGCCGAGGGCAGCTCACCGGCAGTTCGCACTCAGAGGCGACCAGCTCCAGTCTCGCAGCGCCAATGGCATCTCCCGGCTCCGGCTTTTGGTCCTTCGTGTCCGAAAATGGCTCTGCGGATCCCGAGAACCCTGGCACAGGTAGGAGAACCAGGATGTGTAGCAGACTACCTTTGAGGTTTGCAAGGCTAGGGAGAAGATGAAGGGGGTTTTTCCACCTGCAGCTGGAAACTTCTTTGGACGCTTATCCATGTTCTTGGGGTTGGTCTTGACGGCCCAAGAGACCAAGTCCTCCCCCCCCCCCCCCCCCCCCCCCCCCCACACACACACAGCCCCTGGTCCCCAGGGAAAACAGCCAAAGAAACTTGGGCCCTTTAGGCCGAAGTCTGTGACAGTCCCCTAAAGACTGCGGTGTCTCCCTAACACTGAATTCCGTGAGCTTGGGGTGCCGCCACCATCTTGGTGTCTGAACCCTAGGGAAGGACGTAGTGGCGGTGGGGAAAGGAAATATGGGGAAGGGGAGAGACTGCTTGGCCTGAAAGGAGAGTCTGTGAGGAAGTGGACAGCGTCGGTGGCTATGAAAACTCGCTCCAGCGAGGCAGGGAGGGGAGTTTGCCTGAACTGACGGGTACCAGGAAAGCAAGTCCGAAAGGCCCCGGTGTGAGTTTCTCCGTAGGACAGAAAGCACCTAACCGAGGGTCCCTGCGCGCACTAGGCTCCTACCCGCCGCGCCGAGCCCGGGGCGGTCACGCTGGAGGGAGGCGGCCCGTTCCCCAGCCCGGGGTTTATTGACGTCGTTCAAATAGAACAAAATTTCGCACGTCCGTCTGCTATTTTCTGTCTGCCTCGCTGTCTGCTTGCCTGTCTCTCCCTCCAGCAAGAGCCTGGTGCCAGGTGGCCCAGAAGTTCACAGGCGGCATCGGAAACAAGCTATGCGGTGAGTGCCGGTGTTCCAGAAAAGGAGGGCGGGCAAGGCCGGGCGCCGTGGGGCCTGCGGGGGCAAAGCTGCCTTCTCACCTCCACCTTCCTCATCAGTGGAGTCGGGGTTTCTTTGTTAGGGGCGGGAGGGGCTTAGGGAGCCTTGCCGGGCGGGCGACTGACCGACGCCGGCACTCCGTGTCCTTGCCCAGCCCTGCTCTACCGAGACGCCGAGAAGCCCGCGGAGAGCGATGGGAGCGAGCCGTGGCGGGTAGCCGCCCGAAAGGCAGTCTGTGCGTGCGAACAGAAGCCCTGCAGCTGCCCCAACGCGGACGTCGACTTTGCGCTTCTGCACGCAACAGGTAAAGGCGCCTGGCCGGGCTTGCGGGTGCGCAGCTGCCGCTCGCGCTGCCCGGCCCACCGCAGCCAGGGCCGGCGCTGGAAGCTGTACCCGAGGCTCGAGGTGGCGGGCGCAGATGGGCTCTGCTTGAATCTTAGGCGGAGAGAGAGAAACGCTAGGCCTCCGGATCCTTCCGAGCCCAGATCATAGCCTCTGCGCAGCGCTAGGCGCCGCATTCCAAGGAGGCTCTGCGGCCGCGGCGCTCTGCCCCAAAAGCGCCCTGACGGGCTGCAGGCGACCGAGGAGCCCACGCGCACGGGTGCTCGACGTCGGCTCCCCAGTGCCGCTGAAACCGCGTGTGAGACTCGGTTTCCAGAAACTGTGCCAGTGAGTTCAGCATTTTTTAGACTTTTTAAGTCTTTAGATCGGCAGAATATTTTGTAGCCCAATTTCACAGGAGAATGCTTCCATGTGTGTGAGACCTGTGTGCTTACATCTTCAGTCACCCAAACGCGCGCGTGCACACACACTGACTTGGAAACAGCGAGTCTTCATAAGTCTTCATAACGGGCCAGAGATCTTTACGTTGCATGCTTCTTTTTGTCTGGTTTGCTCGAAGGCATTCCTCAAATATTTCTGAGGTAAAGTGTTCCCATAAACATTTCCAGACGATTTACTGAGAAATGACATTTAGGACTAACCCCTGTGAAATAGATTAATGGAAGTCCTCCTAGAAAAACAAAAACAAGCAATAAGTTATTAATTGAAATGCAAGAATTTGGAGGGGGTTGTCATGTTTCTCATTTATACCCTTCGTCATTGAAAAATGCCCTCCTTTAAAGAATATGTTCAGCATTTCCAAAGCTTTTTTGTGTGTGTGTGCATAAAATCTCTCAGTTTAAAGACACATTGCCAGACAAGATCGTGCCTGAATTATTTCCGCAGTAAAATTAAAATGCGGTGTTTTAATTCCATTCTTTAGACCTGCTGCCAGCTTGTGAAGGAGAAAGGCCCACTTTGGCGTTCCTGCAAGATGTTATGGACATTTTGCTTCAGTATGTGGTGAAAAGTTTCGATAGATCAACCAAAGTGATTGATTTCCATTACCCTAATGAGCTTCTTCAAGAGTATAATTGGGAATTAGCAGACCAACCACAAAATTTGGAGGAAATTTTGATGAATTGCCGGACAACTCTAAAATATGCAATTAAAACAGGTATTGTCTAATTAGATATAATCAAATTCTTTTTTCTTTTACACTTTTTTTCTATAAAAATGCTTTGTGTCTCATGGAGTTACTGATCTTTTCAAAATGGCAAAGTTGTTTTCAGTCTTTTTCTTGTAAATAATGATTATCAGAAAGATTAAAAACAAAAAGCACCCTCTATTACTAGTGCGAATGCTTCTGAAGTTCATTATATTGGAGACTTTATACAATACAGATGGTCAGATTTTACACTGCAAGTATTTGGCCATGGAGATAACCACTGGTGTAGAAGAAACCATTTGTCAGCAGAGGCCAGTAGAAGTGACCCAAAATGAAGCAAGGCAGGAGATACAGAAATGAAAGCTCAAAAAGCAGGATCCAAACAAAAGCCCAAATACCCCAAATACCGGTGTGGCACAGAAAAGGTCAGAAACTGGACTAACCATCCTGTGTAATCACTGAACCAAAGGGATAATATCTTGACATTTTCTCAAATAGCCCAGCTTTCAAATTTGAATTCCTGTTTGCCTTCTATTTTTAAAGAAGTGTACACAAAAGAAAACACAAGATGCACATAGACTAACTTAGTAATTCAGCCATATGAAGTGTGTCCTTCACAGCCACTGTGCAGATAAGATAAAGCAAAAAAGAAGAAGAAAACGGATCTCCTTAGGGCCAATTTTTTTTTAATGTATTTTGTTGATTGAATATTGGTTTTTACACTCTATCCATTTTACAGCCCCTGGTGTAACATTTGTCTGGGTACATTCTATGCTTTCGTTTTATCAGCACAAAGTCAGCTATTCATTTCTGCCCAGGTCATGATTACCCCCTCATCTTCTACATTGTCTCTAATCATCCTAATACGTGTTGGCATGATGACTCATAGAGCAATAAAAATAAATATGAATGAATTTCTGGAGGAAAAAAAAGAATTTGTGGATTTGCATTTATTTGAAGCCTTAAAAAGATTTGCTGGCAAATAAAAATGTAAAATATTCCATGAACTTTAATTACCATGGTAACTTGATCTGTTTATATTGCAAAAATTTTGTTGATGAATTAGTATCTTTCTAATCAACAACAGATATTTTAAGGATGCTTATTGTGAAACTTTGAGCTGTTTTACACCTTCTTTTTGCCAACAATGCTAAAAGGTAGGCATAGAAGAAGCCTTGGGAAATCTATGTACTGATTATCCGTATCCACTTTTGTGAGAGCGTATAGATTTATAACTAGACACATAGGAAAAGAAATTTAACCAGGAGATTTCTCTCAAACTCAGTCTGTGGAGTGTGATTTTTGAAGGCTTATTAGATATCCTTAATGCTTGGAGGACCCAACATGATGTATATAGCAGGCATGAAAAATGTTTTTCCCCCAACTTTTCCTGTATCTGTAGGTACAAACCTGAACACCACTCTTAATTCATTTTGCATGCCCCATTCCTCTAACCTAATATTTAAATGTTAATAGTAAATTGTTACCTATTATTTTTATTGCTACCAAACCAAAAAGAATCTATAGAAATGTTTTACATATCCATTTTTAAAAGCTGGTGGTGTTTGAAATGCAATTTAAGGAGATAAGATAATGGGAATTGCAAGTCAATGAAAGTAATAGTTCTGTCTATCAACGTTCCATTTAGTGGCATGAAAAGATGCATCAATTCAATACTTTGCCATAATGCTTGTAAAACTAAGTACAGGCCAAGTGTAACTCTAGTGCATTTTACTTAAAGTTCACATGAAAAATGTGATTGATTAAGCTGAGTTTTCTAAGCAAACTATATAAATATTAATTCAATATTTCCATATTATTCATACACTACTTAGTCTTCTGGCCTTTTCCCCCCAAATGGCATTTCAGAGAATTAACAGCAGTCCCCTTTTTTCAGCTGGCATTTATAGATTTTTGTACTATAACTGTTGCATTTGACAACTAGGGCTATTTAGAGTCTCTCAAAGTAGTTACCATCCCTGATACCATCAGGCATTTTAATGTTTCTCGGAATATTTTTTTATAAGATACATGTTATCACTTGGTTTCTACTGAGAGTGTTTAACCTGATTTCCACTTAGGTTTCAAGCTTAGAGGGAGGGGAGTGAGGGGCAGGCAGTGCAAAAATTCTTTAAAACGAAGTTTTCAGGTATTGTTAAAATTACCTATGGAAGAAATGTTGAAACTGAAAACTGCAGAAGGATACAATTCTGGAATAGTTGGCGTTTGCAGGGGTCATCAGATTTGGTAGTGGGAGAGAGGGGCTAACATTTTCTTGAATCTTTGAAGCAAACCGTCAGACAAAGGGGATTGGAGCGCCAACGAGTGAGACCGTTCTTGTGTCTGTGTTGTCAGAACATAAAGAGCAGCTTGAACTGAACTTTTGCTCCCTCCCCAACTAACTGTGGACACCAGGGTCAGACCTGCTTGGGACTGGTTATTTGCAGAGTCTGAGCATCCTTTAGGGCTCATTTACTAAACTGAGGGAAGCGTTCCAGAGGCGGAGCGGTTGCGAGCATTGCAATCCGACGTCTGACTCTTGGTCGCGCTGGTTGGGGAGGGTGTGCGTGGCGCCTGATCTCTGAGCGCTGTGGGACTCTGCTCTCAGCGCGCGGGCCGAGGGGGCAGCAGCAACAGCAGCTAAGAGCCCAGGGCTGCCAGGACTCTCGGTTGCACAGGCTCTGAGGCAGGTCTCTCACGTCCCTTTCTCTCACTGAGCCTTGGCTGGATTGGCTGGGCAGCCCTATGAGACAGCCTGTAAGGGTCACGAAAAGAGCAAATGTAATTAGAGGAATATTTCTGCAGAAATCAAGAGGACATGTTGTTCTGACCTATCAGACTGTCTCCTTCCATATTTGCAAATCATTATCAGTGAACCAAAATTTTGAAACAGGAAAGAGTCACCTGAAATGGAAGATCAAGGTCATAAAAAATACAGAATAAGGGAGAGCAAGCAAAGGAAGCATCTACTATCCTCACAGTGTACCAAAAGTAGTCATAGGGTGAATTGGCCTTTGGATATTCTGGGATCACAACACACATCTTGGAATCCCCCTCAATTTTAAGCAGACTTTTTCATACAAAGTTTTCATAGGGTTAAATAGCGTGTGATAATAGACACCAGATTCATCCAGAAATTCACATGGATTGGGAGAGTAGATTAATGGATAGATTTGCTAATCCTTATTAATTTCCTTACTCTAAGAAAAGGCTTAGGGAAAGAGAAATGAAAGGGCTTGGAGAGGGAAGGCAGCTATGATTTCAGCTGTGAGCTGTAATGAAATGGGGAGTCAATGAGGCAGAGAGGAGTGGGGGCTATTCCAGATGGCAGCAGCAGCCAAGAAGGCTTTTTCTCTTTTTAAGGATAGGTAAACTGACAGGGGTCAGCATCAGAGGGCCTGGAAAGAGCAAAAAGATAGAAGGGGCATCGTGCAAGTCCATAGGGAGGTAAAACAATGCTGGAGAATGGACAAGAGACACACCAATCCCAACCCCTTTTAAAATGTGCTCTATCCCAGCTCCTATCTCTCCTCAATGTCTAATTCTCTAGCCACATGCCTGAGGCTGATAAGAGAGCACTCCAGTCCGGGAGATAACTGTGTGTTGACTTTTGTCCCTGCCTTCCCTACTGCCTCCGTTTATCTTGTTTTCCCATACTGTTGATGAGAGACTATCACATCCCCAGGCTTCAGACAGGTGTCCAGTAAGTGGCAGCTACCTTTTTATCAGATTCTATTTCTGTAATTGTTAATGTCCCCAAATTTTTACTGCTAAACAAATCACCAAATTATAGATAGGCTTTTATGGGACAAAACAGGGAAACAGAATTCTAATGAGATATTTGTAATCACATTTTAAATAATAGCCTTAAGAGTATTCAGATGACAACCCCCTTGAGAGAGTTTTAGCAAAATCTAAAAGTTAATTAGATAAGCCTTGCTAATAGACCAGCCAGTCCATTGAATATATCTTCATGTATCATGTTGACAAGACAATGATGTTGGCTGTATTCAGCTTCATTTTAAATCACAACTATGGGGGAGCGCTCTTGTTTATAAACAAATATTCTGACAGAGAAGAACCGACAAGCATTAGCTTTGTCCATGACATCTTTAAACAATCATCACCTGCTGAATCCAGGGCAAGTCACTCAGCACAGTGTCCTATTTTCTCATTTTTGCCCTGTCTTTTGTAATCATCAGCCATTTGCCACTGATATTATTAGGAATGTTAGCATGCCTCTCCGATGTCATGGTACCACTCATTATCAGAACTACAACAAAAAGGGGTTTTTAGAAGCATGAGTGTAAACAGGAAGTGGCCTGTCTTTGAATTGCTTTGGCTTGCACTAGCATTTTTAGTTTGCAAATATATTGAAAGAATGGTAGGAAATAAACTAATGTCCAGATTGCAAACCACATTTGTTATTTTTTATAGGGTATGTTTTAAGGAAATGATGTTTTAAGAGATACCAAAACCCAAAGTAGTGTCTCTTGTTAGAGGGAAACGCTTTTCTGATGTGTGTGTGTGTGTGTGTGTGTGTTTCTCTGAATACGAATTTCCCGTTACGGAAGGATCTGTCAAAGTTGTTTAGCTAGAGAAATCATGCGTTTAAGAGGCACTTATTTCCACTGGCTGCAATCCTGAATGTGATGTTTCATTTTTTTTTTCAGGGCATCCCAGATATTTCAATCAACTTTCCACAGGATTGGATATGGTTGGATTAGCAGCTGACTGGCTGACATCAACAGCAAATACTAATATGTAAGTAGCTGAATGTGTTTTTTTGTGTAATCCAGGATAATTATTCGTGTGATTCCATAGTCTTTAACTCCCATGTTAAAATCTCTTTTTATTAAGTAGCTTCTAAAATAGTAATATGAGCCTCAGAAGTATATGAATGTTTGTTCTAGCTTAATAGAAAATAGTCTTGAAATAGCTTCCATGCAGTCAAATCTATAGAAAAATTTTAAAACACAAAAGGGCCTTTTTTTGGCATTTGGCTTCATAATTATGTATAATGTGAAAGAGAAATGGGACCAAATTTTTAAATGGATTTACTCTGTGATGTTCTTTATTTATTCAATATGATAAACAATCCTTGTGCATTTTACCAATAATTTAAGCTCTTGACTGCAGGGATATAGAAAATCAAGCAAACTTTCTGGAAGACATTATTTTCTCTCTGCTGAATGTTACAATCCTAACGTTTGTGAACGTAGTGCTCCAAAGAGTTCTGTAGATATTGTAAATGTGAATTATTTCTTTGAGTTACATATATAAAATGTGGCTATTACTACATTTCAGGTTCACCTATGAAATCGCTCCAGTATTTGTGCTTTTGGAGTATGTCACACTAAAGAAAATGAGAGAAATCATTGGCTGGCCAGGGGGCTCTGGCGATGGGATATTTTCTCCTGGTATATGATATTTCAACCTTTCTTTATGTTTTTTTTCTGATATGCAATGCCTCATCGTGCACCTAGAAAAGATTAGATATCTGGTCAATGTTTCTGCTGAGGTTAAATAGGCTGTATGTTAATCAAAAGAATGAGTGTCATTAAGCACGTATGGCCATTGAACACTTCCAAGCTAACAACTGCACGCTTTAACTTTAGTAACTTATATGTTCATAAACAGCATAATCAGAGATACTTACCTGGTACTTCTAATGTGATTCGATATGCAGGATGTGTGGATCCTGTAGAATAAAGGAATAAAGATTCCAAATAAGGGAAAAAAATCACTCTCTGATGCTCTTCCCAGAATAAGTGAAAGGAAAAGGGTGTCATCATTTAATAAAGCCTTCGCTGTTCGAGGATGCATAACAAGGCAGATCTGTTTAACAGAGCACATGCACCATCTACCCTTTCACATAACAAGCAGAGAAGCTGATTTACACTGATTTCAAGGACAGCAGAGAGTACCTCAGGAGGCAATTTCTTAGAGCTAAAAACGGGGGCAATGATTTCTTCAAGAGGTTTCTCATTCCTTTTCTTTATCATGCCACTTAATCTTTTCCATGCTGCCTTTTATCACCAGCTGTTGCATTCTAAGCTCCATTATTTACATCTCTTCCAGCCACGAGGATCAACCTGAAACAAAAAGCCCTGCCCTTGAATCCCAGGTCTGTGTGTTACCTTGGTTTGATGCAGAGAGGAAACGAAGTTAGGAAGGGAATGGGAAGAGCAAGCCACTGACCCATGGCAAGGAAACCTGGTCTGCAGATCATCACCTAAGCAGTGCAAGAGGGAGGGGCCATCAGAAGGGAGTGGACGATTCCCCAGGGCTCAGGACACTGACACTTACCCCACTGGAGAGGCCAGAGCCGCGCCCACCATTATGCCAGGCTTCTTGTTCTTGGTTGCCAGCGAGTTGACTCCAACTCATGGCAGCTCCATGTCTGTCACAGTAAAAGTGTGCTCCATAGGGTTTTCAAGGCTGTGACCTTTTGGAAGGAGATCACTAGGCCTTTCTTCCCAGGCACCTCTGGTTGGGTTAGAACCACCAACCTTTCTGCTACTAGTCCAGCGCCTAAACATTTGCGCCACCCAGGGACCTATGCCTGGCTTATCAAAGACCAAATCCTATTCTCTTTTAGCAAATCTACAAAGACAAGAGGATGATCAGGACAGAGAGGGGGAAAAAGGAAAAGGGGGAAAGAAGAAATGATGAACAGGAAACAGTGGCCTCAAGGCCAGGGCTTAAATTAAGCAGGTTTGCCTACAAGCTCAGATCTACTATTTTGTTAATGTTTTTAAGGATATAGCACAATTTTTCAGGGGCTGAAGGGAAATGTGTTAGTTAAATGGAAAGGAAAGTTAGTCTTTTTTTTTTTAAGTCATTGAACACAAGCTGTGATGAATTTAAACTGGCCTTTATTTTGTAGCAAAAGAAAGGCCTGGCAATCTACTTCCGAAAAATCAGCCACTGAAAACTCTGTGGAGCACAGTTCTACTCTGACACACATGGGGTCACCATGAGTTAGAATCAACTCAATAGCAACTGGTTTATTTTGTAGAAAATGTTGTATTTAGTTTTCCCTTTGGAAAATCTTCTCCTGTCAAGGGGGCTCTGTCATCATTGTCTGGAACTGAGGCTTCTAAGGTAGTTTTCATGAGGAATTAGGTAGAGTTCAGAAATCAACATCGTTGCTACCTTTATTGTCCTTCCTGATTCTATGGTTGGTGGTGGGACTGAGCTGTCCATAAGGGAACTGGGAGCAGCTTTGCCTCTCCTTTGCTGGTTCCCAGGAGTGGGGAGAAAATAGGTACACTTGTTGACCCTGAATACTTGGCTAAGGGGGCTGACAGGGCTATTTAACTGGCTTGTCTGGTGACCCACATGCCCCAGAAAAATATATACCCAGGGAAAGAATCCTCTTTGGCAGTTCTGCTAGGCTAAGTATGCTCTATCCAGAGGCCCAGAAGCTGCTTCCTTCTCTCAGGGCTGCTGAGCCTTTAGGCAGAAGATGACCCGGCTGCTAAAGAAATAGTGAGAAGGCAGGTCTGGGAGCTTCTTGGGTAATCGCACTGTGTGGTGCACTTTCTTTGTGTGCACCTTCCTTCGTTTCCTCTCCCCTTATCTCTTCCCTAGCCTTTCTAAGAAGAACAGCTAGAGCACTGGTTCTCAACCAGGAGAAATTCAGCCCCAGGGGAAATTTGGCAATCTCTGGAGACATTTTTGACTGTCAGGACTTAGGGGGCAGGGGGACATACTACCGGCATTTAGTGGGTAGAGGTCAGGGGTGCTGCTAAATATCCTATAATGCACAAGACAGGCACAGCCCTCTGCAACAAAGAATTTCCCAGCCCCAAATGTCAGTGGTGCCAAGATTAGCTATGAGCTAGAGTGAAAGTTCTTTTAAAAGCTGGCCCCTTATTCAACAACTTCCACACAGTCAAACTTTAGACAGGGTGTCTGCTCAGAGTAGTCCTAACCCGGATTCTGTGTGTGCCATGTCTCTGGAATCCAGAAGAGATAGGAATTGCCCTCTTTCTAGCTGATGTCAGAGCTCAGGACCTGGGTGATTACTGCTCTGTGCCAGGCAGGCTAATGAGGCAAAGGTCAAGGTTCTGCATGGTCCAATCACCTTGGCACAGAGAACCCTTCTGTTCACAGCACCCATGTGATGGCAGGGCCTGGGGGTGTCCCCCTTTGGGTGGGAGGAGGAGGTAGACCATCACTCTGCTTCCTGATCTCATGCCTTCCATGCCAGCATATTCATTTGCATTCACAACAATCTGTCTTTTTCCTGGATAAAAAAATCCTCAGCTTCCCAGCAACCCTGGGGAAAGCTCACTTTTCACTTGTCAAGCGAGACCCAGCGTATGGTATGAAATCTGACAATTTTAGGATGACATAGAAAAACTAATTCAATATGGGCTTAAATTTCCCTTAATTGTGTGTTTCCCTAGAATTACAAAATAAGATTTTGTTAACTATTAAAATTATATTTCAATAATATCTTCAAGAGGGAAAAAGAGTCTTGGAGAATTCACAGGTGAGTAGGATGAGATGGGTTTGGATTATTCTGCATTCTGTAAGATTGTTGATTAATAGCTCACACTATTAATAGCAACTGATTTGTCTCAATCCAAGTGAAATGAAAAGAACTGAAGGTTCTCCCTCAAGATACAGGATTTTCATAGGCCTAATCCATAATGACCACTCTCACACACTGGGAAGGAAGGCAAAAATTTCTGTGTTCTTAAAAGCCTCCTTTTAAGGACCAGAATCTATTGCAATTTCTCTTAGTGAAGGAATGGGGTTTGGAGGGGTAGCATTCGTGCTATGGTTGGGCCCAATCTGCCTTCTCTGAACTCTCTTAGCTCTTGCCTTTGAGTCTGAGGAGGACTCTAGATCAGTAGAAATGAGGAATGTTGCTTGCATGTGAAATGATGTTGATACTGAATAGGAAGAGTAACTACATTGCTGTGCACTTTAGGTGGAGCCATATCTAACATGTATGCCATGCTGATTGCACGCTTCAAGACGTTCCCAGAAGTCAAGGAGAAAGGAATGGCTGCCATTCCCAGGCTCATTGCCTTCACATCCGAACATGTACGTGTTTCTGTTCTTCCCAAGTTTAAGGCTATAGTCTATATTCTGTAAACTCCAACTTGAAGGAAAGCTATCTGGACATGCTTTATCCCCAGAGGTTCTCTTTCTGGAATACACATCTTGGGAGAGAGGGAGGGGGGAGAACAGCTGAGTGGTACAAGTGTTGTCCTCCTTGTCTCTTTGAAATTTAGGAAGACACGGAAAGATAAAGCATAATTTTTTTCAACATCTATAATGCTTACACTTCACTTCTCTGTAATAATGTGTGTTGAGGAGAGGGGAGGAGGAGGGCAGAGTGACTATGAACTTTTTTGAGTCATTGACTCTGTGCCTCTACAACTCAAAACTCTGGAGTATCCTCTTGGTATAATCTTTCTGTTTGAAAATTAAGTCAGCTGATCATGGTGCCTTGAAACATTTAATGTTAAGTTCTGGCTGACTTCATCAGACGTTTTATCATTGTGTAGAAATAGCACTGGGGTCTATCATGTCTGTTCTCTGGGACAGATGTGTCTCAGCTGAACCTGGACTCCAGTCTAGTCCTTACTTTCAGCGGCCTGCAGAAAATTCATGCACTTAATATCACCGGGGAATTGAAAAAAGCAGGCCCACCCTGTTCATGTAAATTCAGGTGGCCTAGTAACCAGCTTTCTCTCACATGCCAGGGGAAAGAGGCCAACTGCACAGGGCCACACTGCAGCTATTTGAGCAGCATCTTAGTTCCGAACTCTCCCACCACATAGCTCCTGTGACCAACCAGAGACCTGCTCCTGGATAGGCGCTAGAGAAGCATTGCCTGCCCTGTAATTCACAAGCTTATTCCTTCACAAAGTAGCCTAGGGTCTGGAAAACAGTTGCCTCACAGAAAATCAACAAGCCCTATGTTCACTGGGGAAATTAGAGAAGGGGAGGGAAGGAAGAGGTTTATAGGGAGACTTGGGGCTCCTCTAAGGAGGTCACAGTCAAGAGGAGCAGGGATCCATAGTGGTTCTCAGATCTACCACTGAATAGTCTGGAGGTCAGAAGTCTAAAATGGTCAGGCAGGACTTGGCTTCTTCTGGAGGCTCTAGGCCCTTACCTTTTCCAGCTTCTAGAGGAAGCTTTGCTTGGCTTGTGGCCCCTTTCTCTATTTTCTAAGCACAGCATCTTCATTTCTCTCCCTCTCTCTCTCTGTCACTCTGTCTCTCATCTCTGGCTCCATTGTCACATCTCCTTTTCCGACTCTCCCGCCTCTCTCTTTCTCTTACAAGGACCCTGGTGATTACATTGGGCCCATTCGAATAATCCAGGATAATCTCCAGATCTCAAAACCCTTAACCTAATCACATCTGCAAAGTCCCGTTTGCCACGTAAAGTAACATATTCACAGGTCTTGGGGATTAGGATGTAGATATCTTTGCGAGGGGGGCATTATTGTGCCTACTATACCTAGTACCCCACCATCTTATAACATTCACTCTCAGTTTCTCCAAGGGTATAAACATTTTTTTTTCCCAAGTACTATTTCTCTGAAGTGGAGTTGGACCTCTGTGTAGTTAAATGTTACTACATTCTCAGCCTCAAAAAGCCAAGACGATCTTATATTGGGCATCTTTTCCTTTTGACTTCCATGCCGTTTCTACAACTTGAAACAAAGTTGGTCCCTCTGCTGGTCATCACTCTGATTTCTACATGAGCTTCCAGGGTCAAGCTTGACGTAAATTGGCTTAGCCTTACCCTGAAAGCTCAGGCTGTGTGGTCTGAGGATAATTTTGCTATGCCTTCTTTTCTTGATATTGCAAACTTAGAGTCTACTTCTTTATTTCTAAAGGAAAGAAAGGTGATTCAGCTATAAAACAACCATTCAGTTCAATTCTCCCCCCTCCTTCCTGTATCTCTACTGTGCACATAGGCATTATGGAAGAACATTTGAATTATGAACATTTCCTAAAATATCAATTGGTTCTAACTGGAGGCTTATCATTTTTGACAAATGAACCATTATTCTAGTGTCTAATATCTGATTCCTATTTAACAGTTTCCAAAATACTTACAATATACATAAGCACATTTGACTCTCATAGCAACACTGTGGGGCAGGCGGAACAGAGGTTGTTAGCAGCATTTTAAAGATGAAGAAGCTGATACTAGGTGGGTTCAATGATTGCCAGCAGTCTCACAATCAGGTAAGGCAGACCAGGCTCAAGGAGTCTCTGGGTACTGCAAATGGTTAAGTGCTACACTGCTAACTGAAAGGCTGATGGTTTAAAACCCACCCAGAGACCCTGGGAGGCAGTCCTGTGACCTGCTTCCTAAAGGTCACAGCCTTGAAAACCCCATGGAGCAATTCCACTCTGCACACATGGGATTGCCATGAGTTGGAATTGACTCAGTGGCAGCCAACAACAACAACAGAGCCTGGCTCAGACCTGGTTTCCTGACTCCCAGACCAGTGGCCATTCCTGGCCCCAGTGACCACTGCAGAAATAAGATGAAAAGATCCAGCAATAAAGTTTTGTAAACTACAGCTCATCAATTAATTATATACCTTCCTAGATCAAATTCCTACCATGAGCTGTTTCCTTAATGTGAACTAAAAAAAAAGAAAAGGAAATAAAAAATAACCAAACCTGTTACCGTTGAATCGATTCAAACTCATAGAGATCCCGTGTGTTACAGAGTAGAATTGTGCTCCATAGGGTTTTCTTGGCTGTAATCTTTAAAGAAACAGATTGCCAGGCCTTTTTTCCATGGAGCCACTGGGTGAGTTCAAACTACCAACCTTTAGGTTAGTAGCTAAGCTCAAAGCATTTGATCTCCTTAGTGTGGAACCTCCTTAGTGTGAAGATGATGTTAAACTGTTAGCCCCCCACCACACCCCACCCCAGTTCTCCTCATTAACACCCAGAACTGGGCTGGAGAGGGTTTTCAGAGCTCATTTAAAGCTCTCCTCTGTCTCTTTGAAGACTTGATCCAAACCATTCTGGCCAGATGAGCTCTTAAACGTGAGTCCTGCCCTTGAAGCTCCAGATAAAGAGGTAACACAATCCTCATCTCTATTTCCTTCTGGGCTCTAGACCTCGGGGCTTGACCATTACCTTCTATTCATCATTTAGTGTGGGTCCTTCCTGCTTCAGGACAGCCCACACATTCCCTTTGTCTTCCCAGCCCCAGAAATAGACCTCCACAGGCTGAAGAAAATTCCCAAGTCATTTCTCAAATGTTTTTTCTACAGACTAAACTATTTCAATCCTTATATCGAGATTTCTTTCCTGAACTCCTTGGCCTGCAGGAAGAAAGTGTAGTGGAGGCGCTACTGTGTGAATCCTTTGAGGAGAGGGAAGGCCAATGGCTAAGGCAGAGCTGCTTCAGGTGGTGTTTCTCCTCATCTCTTTGAGAGGTTTCCAAGACTCAAGACTTTTGGAGAATCAAATAACTTTTTAAAACACTTACCTCAGCACATAGAAAACCAAAAACCAAACCTGTTGTCACCGAGTTGATTCTGACTCATGGCAACTCTTTGTGTTACAGAGCAGAACTGCTCCATAGAGTTTTCTTGGCTGTAATCATTACAGAAACAGATCATCAGGCCTTTCTTCTGCAATGCTGATGGGTGGGTTTGACTCTACATAAATACTAGGTAATTTCAAAATACAACAACAACCTTGTTTTATAGCTGAAGAAACTAAGCCCTAGAGCGGGGAGACAATTTGCCCAAGGTTTCATGGCCAGTTAATGGCAGAGCCAGATCTAGAGCCTCAGTTTCCCAACAATCCCAACACTGCTTTTTCAACTACCATGTTCAGATAGCCTGAAGACTGCTCTCTAGCTGGCTGCTCTAAATTCATTTGTAGCATCTTTTCTCAAATCCCATTTTGCATGTTGACTATTCTAGGGCTATATAATTTCCTGATCAATTGAACTAGGCCAAGTTACTATCCTTTCTTCTATCCTGAACATCGAGTTTATAACTTGGCATGTTCAGAGCCCTAGAGATGGAAATGACTTTGAAAGACTCTTCTAGTTTTCTAGCATCCAACCAAAACTTTGCATATTCAGGCAGCAAAGTATCTTCTTTTGTTTTCTAAATGACCCTTCACCCTCTCTCTATTGCATACCACTATGTCTCCCCATCTCCCTTCTGGCCACTAACACACACTAGAACTTTACTTAGCTGATACGGAGGGCAAGTTATTGAATTTTTCTTTGTTTAAATCAACTGTTTTCTTACAAAACTTGAAAAAGACTACATTAAATAAATGGTATGCTTGAACTGCATTAGAAGTGGAGAAAACAGTGAGTGGAAACAAGAGAGGACATTTAAACTATGAGTAAAGAGTTCCAAAGTTATTTTCTTCCAAAGAAGTATAGATTCACAGAATCTCAGAATTGGGAGGGGTCTTAAAATCTGTCTGGTTCAACATTCATCCTTTGCTGGAATCTCATTACCTTACCTGTATCTTCAGTGGTGGAAAAGCTTCACAGAAATTAATCTGATGAGTTTCTGGTCCTTTCTTCAGAGTAGGTTTTGAAAGAAGCTAAGATCCCAGCTCAATAATTCACATCTCCAGCTCTGAATCCTTTGAAAGCCCTACCATGAGCTTAATTCTAAATTTATCTTATTTCCTCATGTGGCACAAGCTCTTCCAGAAATAGCTTCAGTGAAACAGCATAATCTAATTTAGGAAAAAATGTTCATAATCATAGCAGACACTGGAATCTTTTTGGTAAATCCATAACTAACTTACTTTCCACTCTTCACGTCCCAGCCCAACTCACATCTAGTCGCCAGTATCCTATAGAGTCCCCTCATGACCCCAGCCTACTCTGTGGGTAGGTTAATTGTCATAATTGCTTCAGAAAAATGATTTTCAGATGGCAACACTATTTGAGAGAATTTCAATTCAAAAATAAATCTTGTTTATGTTAAAAAAAAAAAAAATCACAGTGACCTGGGCAGCTTGTAAAAAGGGCAGCTTCCATGTAATGCTATCCTCCCGTCAGGCAGGAACTTAGCTGGC